CAGGGAAATTTTTTCCAGGGAATAATTTTATATGGGAATTTTTTTCCAGTTAATTATTTTCCTAGGATTTTTTTCTTGGGGAATTATTTTTAAGGGAATAATCTTTCATAGGATATTTTTTCCAGGGAATTATTTTCCGCATACTACTCGCCTTAATAGTTCTTACTAAAAGACCGACTAAATATATGGAATTAAGATAATTTGACCTAGGATACATTCTAACTAAGAGCTTTTGATTTTATATATTAACCGTCTTATTTATGAAAATTCACAAATTTATGAAGAATAAAAAGTTGTAAAGATTTTTTAAATATATACATGTATATTATTAAGCTAAAATTCAACTTGCTTGTTAGTTAAAAATAACTTCCAAGATAAATCTAATCTTATTATATTTTCTCATTATTTATATATTTTATAAAATATTTCAAGAAATTAAGTAATACTTATATCAAGTAATTTGGCATCCTTGTTATTAAGGTTTTATCAAATTTAAATCTTTATTGCTAACTTGACCCTTATAAATTATAGTGATAATTTAAGAATTATCAATTTTGTGGAAATAAAATATATGAAAAATAAAATTTGCATACATTTTAATTTGTTATTAACGTATATATATCTTAACTCGTATTAACATCTGTGTAAAATTTATCAATTAGTTTTATCGTATTAGTATGTATAAAAAATTATATTTTTTTCCTTGATATTTGGCGTATGGCGATCAAATTTAACCTCCCATGACATGACATAGTAATTACCTGAGTTAGCGATACATAACGTATCTATGAATATAATTTTACACTATAAAATTTTTAATGGGTATAGTTTTATCACACCCCTCCCCTTCCTTTCTCTACACAACTGATACTAAATATTCCCCGAAATTTAGTTGGGACGTTGCTGCTAAAAACATCTTATATTAATAATAAAAGAATAATAATGATAATTTACTTCAAATATCTTCTTTCTTATAAATTTTAAAATAAAATTAATATTTTTAATATGTAAAAAGAATATTCTAAATAATAATTCATAAAAATAAACTATTTTTAAGGGGCGTCGCTAGCCTTGGGGGCTCAACTAAAAGAAAATTATTGGGGGGCTTCGCCCCATATAAACCCGAATTTAGGGGCCTTCGGCCGGGTTTTATTATATATTATATATTATACATTTTTAAAATTTGTTAGATCTGAACAATTATTCTGAATTTCATATTTTGTCATTTATTATATTATGCATACTAAATAAACTGGCTTATAAATAATTAAAACAATACAAGACATTTCTAAAAATAATATTTTTTAATACAAAATCTATTTATTATAGTATAAAATATTTTCTATTTCTGATATAAAAAAAATTTGCGCCTAAAGAATTCAAGTGATAAAATAGATTAATTAATTCATACATATGCCTCAATTGATATTTGTATTTAAAAACCACATAATGCAATAATATAATTCTTAGCAACTTACATTGACAAAAGTTTATCAAACTAATATAACTCTCTGTTACCATTTTATTTATAGAACGGACTAATAAGGAAAAATTTATAGGCCTAAAACAAATCAACAATTCTTGAAGATTAAAGTATAAACGACCTTTCCAAATAATAAAAATATTAACTCGTTAGAGCTTCCTTTTAGATGACATGATGGTAGCTAGGCAAGTAATCGAGAATATTATTGTAAGATATTAAATTTCTAAAAGATTCATTTTAAATGATATATTATCTACTAGTAGATAGCCCGTCAAAAATGACGGGGAATGAGAATTTTCTTCTTATATTTATGCTAGATGTTACCTGTTATTTGAAAATTATATCAAATTTAATTCTTTTTATCCCCTGCCCTCTTCAGGCCAGGTTCAATCTATTAAAACTAAGACTAAATACTATGGTTTGAGTAAGAATAAATTTAAAGCTTTTACTTGATAATGCCAATATGTTAAATTTACTGATAATTTATACATAATATTTAATATTAAAAAAAATTCCCAGGTAAAGACAAAGTCATAAAAATTTTGAAAAATTTATCTAAGCTGAATGAAAGATCATAATAATTTTGGTAGTTGAGAACTGAAATAAAACATTTAAATAATCATAATGAATTTTAAAATACAATAAAAATCAGATTTTCATGGGCCTTGGTTTTTTGATCAGGCTGAGCCCAGGCTTGCAAAATAATTTGTTTTAGACCAATGTCTGACCCATAGTTAATAATAAAAAAATTATCGAACGTCCAAGCTCATAATTTTCCCTATGCCGAGCCCAATATAATTTATAAAAAATATTTTCCAAGCCCAGTCCAACTCATAATAATTTTATAAAAAAATTTCTCAAGCCTGTCCAACCCATAGTAATTTTCAAAATTTTTTCCCAAACCTGGAGATAGGTAAATCTCTAAAAACCATATCAATTTTTTATTCTATCTTAACCCAGCTCACCCCTACTTCAGACCAAGGCCAACCCATTTAGACTAAGAGTGAATACTATTTTTTGAATAAAAATAATATTTAAATTAGCTTTTACCTGAGGGCCATATAAATATTCTGTGTTAAATATTACACCTATGCCTAATATTAAAAAAATTTCCAAGCCAGGTCCACGCACTTGGGAAAATTTTCTTAAACCTGCCAAACAGGGTCTACGTGACAGGATTTTCACTGGATGCAAACCCCCTTCAAAAATCCTTGCCTACCCCCCTAAAAAATCGTCGCCTTCGGCGGTGGTGTCTCTTTCTCATTATTTTCACTTATTTATTTATTGATACTCTTTTCAAAGATTTATAAAGGATAACTTAAATTAAATCTCTCTAACAACTATCTATATTTTATGAATATAAAGAATTTATTTTTTAGATAATAAATTTAATTAAAACCTCCATTATTTACAATAAATTAATTATTATGGCATTATAAGCTTGCTAAAATATCTAAACCTTTTAAATTACATTTAAAAGGATAGTTTATTTGGAAAACAATGTGTATGATTGTTTGCTATATATAGATTTGGTCGATGAATTGTATTATAATAATACTATAATAAAAGTATAATTTTTACAGCAAAAAATTTTGTCCTATTTCATCTCAAAATTTAATAGATAACCCCCCAAAAAATTTATCCTACCCCCATTAAAGCAGCTTACCCCCTACCTTCTCATAAAAATAGGATGCAAACTGTTCCTACCCCTCCCGCTCATTTAGACGTTGCTGCCAAAGACCATAATAATTTTGGTAGTTGAGAACTGAAATAAAATATATAAAAAGTCACAATGCATTTAAAAATACAATCAGAATATGAAAGTTTCAATGGTAATTAAAGTATTAGTAAGTGGACAATTTTTACAAAATTATTTAATTCTTTATTTTATTCTTCAAAATATTACACTACTAATAATCTCTGCAATTTCTCTTGGAATATCTGTCAATTTTTTCTTAAACCATACAATAAATATATTACAATAACTTAGATCGTAACATTAAAAGGTACTGGAAAATAAGGATCTACTATATGTCAAACAATATATATGGTTGAAAGAAAATATTGATGATATTACCAAATATTCTGAGTCAATTTTAAAATTGACAACAAATGTAAAATATTAAAAGACAAAAATATAAAATAGTTTTAATTTTAGGAATCTAAAAATTGACATCTAGGAACAGTATTATTTTATATATGTATATAAAATTAACTGCATCATACCTTAATGAAATTGCTATCCCTATGTCTAATGATTATGTATATTAAAGGATGCCATATTAGAAATGAAACACTATAAAATAAGGACCAGATAGATATGATGAAACATTTAAGATTTTATATATTATCGCACCACCTCTAGTTGGTATTATCTTAAAATAATATAGTTTGTAAAAATATTAAAAATATACTTGTATTAAAAATTTAACTCAAAACTGTTTTTTTAAGAAAATCCTAACGTAAAAAAAGAAAAGATATCAAATTTATTACATCTATTAGGGTGAATAATAAAATGTTTAATTTTTAAAATTATTTATAACTAAATAGAGGGCGTTATATACTTAAATGCAAATTGTTAATATATTTATTATCAAAACCATTTATTAATAAAATTTATTATAATATTAACAATATATTATATAACTGTCAAATACGTCTATAAAAGTGGCATTTATCTAATATTTTATAAACAACTGTATATAGTAGAGGATTATAAACGTGTCTGCTAACTTTTTTTATAAATAAATCTCTTATACTTATTTAGACCTTGAAAATATTTTTAGGAATAGATATGATAATAAAATTTAAAAATAAATATACAGTTGATTTGTCATTTTGAACTCTGCTAATTACAATATTACATTTTTTAGTTTATTAATAAATGATTATATTTTTTTAATTAGGGTTATTAAATAATTTAAATAATAATATTCAATTAAGCTTCAACTGTTAATGCTAAATTTATTTAGTGAGTGATATTTATATTCTATTTTAACACAAAATTTGATTGCTAGCTGGCATAGTTAAAATATAATTTATATGTATTAATTTAATTTAATAATTAAAATAGTATTCATTTAATAAATATTTATAGTCTTAATAATTTTTAAATAATAAAAAAAGAATTAAATCTATATTTTACTTAATAGATTTATAAAATAAATCTTTCAGGGGCAATCAAAAAAATTTATTTATAGTTCAAGGGTTAAGATTCCATTAAAAAAAATTTTTTTGCTTCAGCGGGCTATTCAAATTTTTTAGGAGGCTTGAGCCCCTGCGCGCCCTTTCCTCCCTAGCGACGCCACTGCTATTTTCAATTAAAGGGGGACGGGGGGGGTCTAAATATAAAATTTAAAAAAATAACCACGATACTCCTCCCAACTCTCTTCCATTTCATTACTATCCAAACTGCCCCCTTTAAGCTCTACCGTATATGATTTTAAACTATCAAATTATATCCTGTAGCATTATATATGCATGTCATTGATGCATAATATCACGATGTCAGTATTTAGTAAAACACAAAAATATTTTTCAAGCGCCTAAAAAATGGATTCACTTTCACGAACTCGAAAAAAAAATCCAAATAACATTAGTGATGATGAAATGGGCGATAATTTATTGTAAGTTGTCTATTGTTTAAATATAATTATTTTTTTTAGGAATGATGACATATTAATTGATGATAATGAAATATCTAAACGTGGCAAAAAAAGAACCAAAGAAGTAATTAAAAAATCTTACATTATCATTTAACATTAAAAAATATCATTAGTTATTTTTTATAATGGATAAATTTTAGAACTCATTTCTAATTCTTTAAATTTATATTTTCCCATTTGCTATGATTAAACATTTAGTGTTATTTTTATATATTTAATTATAATTATTAACATGTTAGATTTCATATTATCATGCAGTCTCAGCGTTTATAAAGCTAGACAAATCTTATTTTGTGATTCCTCACCCATATAATTTTTTAATCCTTTTAATTAATTTACAAATTTTAATGATTAAATGAATAAAAATTAAATAAAAAAATGAATGCTTTAAAAAATATTTATTTGGATGTAAAAAATATATAAATAACACAATAGAATATTTACTTTTTATAGAAATTTGGATTTTATTAACAATAAACAAATCATATCTAAAAGATATGTTTGCTTTTCTCCAATTATAAGCCCCTGGACTAAATATGCTTAAACTTTATAGATGAACACTTATTTTAAATGAGAATTTTATAAACAGCCATTTTAAATTTGGGAAATCATATAAAGATTGTGAATGTGTTAAATTATTTGCATATTTTAAAAATAACTGTTACAGTTATTTTCCCACAAAAATATAACTATATCTCATTTAGAAATGTAAATATTTCACCTAATAGCTAGTGCTGTGTTCAAAATTATATTTTGCAGTAGCTTGTAATTCAATCTTCATTATAAAAACAAATTTTATTTATGCTGGATGTATTTTTTGAAATTAATCCATATTTTTGAATCTTCAGTGTAAAATATGCTTTCCTTATAAAAAAAAGAATATCGTCATAAATATATAATGATGCTTAATAATATAAAATATCTGGACAGTGGCGTATCCAGGATTTTCTTATGGAGGGGGGGGGGGTGGATTTTTTTTTTGGGGGGGGTGGGGGCTTCACCCCCAAACCCTACTTATCTGGCCTTCTGCCAGCTTTTCCCCGGCCTTTGGCTGGGTCTTATGTTTTAGCTATTCCATTAAATTATTCATAATTTAATAATAATTATATTTCTATTTGTAACTATTATTTACTAATTTGTGCTAATGGATATTACAAGCCTATTTTTTATTATTTTTATATTTAATAAAGTTTTTTAAATGTAAAGTTGAAATAAAGTTTAATGTCATTTTTTTTATAAAATTTGCTTTAAAAACTAGCCTCAGCTTAAATTCTCAATTTTTTTATTGAAAATACTAATAGTAGTGTGTATAAAATATTAATGTTTTTAAACAGCTCGTTTTGAGCCTATTTTTAAAAATGGCTAACTCAATATTGTTGCCAGAAAAATATTAATTAAGCCTCGATATTTTGAAACTATATGTCTAGACCTTTGCTTTATGAGCAAAATTTTCAGGCTTGCATAATATTTTTCTGGATAAATAACTGAGTTAGCCGTTTTTAAAAATCAGCTCAAAACAAGGCGTTTAACAACACTATAAAATATTGACTAGAAAATTATTTAAAAAACAAGTTTTTTAAACTTCTTATCAAATACAATATTATACAAAATTTTTTATTAAATACTATAATTATAATGTGATTTTTAATTTCGTGGGAATGTTGCCAATTCATCAAGAATTTTGTTTGTCGTTGGAACCAAATCTCTGTGGATATTTAACAGAGCTAACCCATTTAGCCGAGATTCGGAAGTAGTACTTTATAAATATGTTTTCAACCTTCTTAAGTTGGAAAGTCCTTTCATTCGTACATGTTATAATAGGCAAACATGGTAGAATATAAAACAACTTCAAAATATTAGGAATTTGAGCCAAGGTTTCTTTACACCGATTGAGCGCATCAATAGCATGCTCGGGTAAAATAGCTAAATGTAGTAAATATTTATACCACAATTTAAATTCACTGATTAAATTTATTTCAGTACCAATATCATAGGAATAAAATTTTGCTAAATATTTCATTTTATCAATAGTGGCATTAGAAAACAAAGATGGATCTTTGGGTATTAAAACTTGAAGATTGCTAAAAACTTGTTTTTTATCTAAAAACTGTACTTTTATTTGCGATAAAAAAGTATTTAAGAATGGGAAGAAAGTGGATATTTTATAATATTTTTCAGTTGAGCCAATATTTATTTTACATCTCAATAATTGTCCAGGTGCTAAATGAGGTTTAATTAGTGTTATATCATAAAATTTAGCCTTCGATTCAACATCTATATAAATATTATGAAAATATTTATCTACATTCATTCTTATTGTATCTACCTGTTCATATATATTTTCCGCCAAATCAATAACAAGAACCAAATCAAAATTTGGTTTTTGTAAATTTCTACAAAGTAGTGAGCTATAAGAAAATAATTTATTGATACAACTAGCAGCAATGATAAACTCTGATTGATCAATTGAATTCAATAATGATATCTCTTCTGACGACACATTACTTTTTTTCATGCTCAGACTTATTTAACTTTTGTATTTCTATTTCTTCTGTTCTACAAAATCGAAGTAAAAATAAAATATTTAAAAAATAATAGATATTTATTAATAATTAATATTAAAAATACTTATTAATTCTAACTTACTAATAATTTTGAATTTAATAAAATAATTATATGTAATAATAAAATAAATTACCATTTGATTTCAATCTCTTTGACTTAAAATTTTTCCATTTTATTAATATTTTTGAATAATGTTAATGTACTCACAAGGAAAGGAAATCTTAATAAAATTTATTTATAAAAAATAAGTTTTATGTTGGAAAATTGATATTCAAATATTTGTAAAATTTTGATTGGAGGGGGGGGGTAATTTTTATTAACTTAAAATGATATTTATGAAAACAGTCAAATTAGCGATGGGGGGATCCCCCCCCATTGGTTACGCGCCTGTATCTGGATAGCAAATTTAATAAAAAAAAATCACGTTTTTATTAGTAATTATATATCTTATATTTAAATTTAATTTTGAAGACATATTTTTTTTACCAAAAATAGATTTCTTCATAAAAAAACCTTAAATTTTAATAATAAAATAAATATTTATCAAATTTGATCTATAAATAAAAATTTATAATAGAGAGTGAAGAATCATGTTTTTATCTAATAAATTACTTACTTTTAAATTCAAAAACACATTATTTTTCATAAAAAGTCTTAAATTTTTATAATAAAATAAATTTACCCCAATATAAATGATAGTATAATAGAGAATGTCAATACATAGATCTAATTACTTGTTTATATTTTAAAGATTAATGAATAAAAATTATATATAGATAAAATGGAAATTAAATTAGAAATTTTTTAGGAATGTTCTAAAAGTGTAATAGGAATAGAACATAATTTTTGGTCAGGACAAAATAGGAACACAAACATGCCTTTGTTATAGATCCCTGATATAAATATAATCCTTGGACTGTGATCATTTTCTTTTTCTTTTAAGGTAATCATGTTATGTTGGAAGTTTGAAAAGTTGTCAATCAAAACTTATATTTGTAATTATTTTATAATATAAAGGAAACTACCAAAACTTTGTATAGTGTAATGTATATAATTTATACATAATAGGATACTCCAGTCATGGGAAGTACTGGTAAACGTATTTTAAATAGGTCGGGACCAGGTCGTCCAAGAAAACAAAATTCTCTACCAGTTGATCCTGCCTCATCTCTTTTTGAAATTGTTAAACAAGGAAGGAGTTCATTTCAAGTATTTCATCCTATCTCTTTTTTAATAAAATACCAATTTCAGGCAGTTGTTGATGAATGGATTGAAAAGTGTAAAAAAGATAAAATGGTAGCAGTAGGCAACTTAATGCAATTTTTTGTTGACTCCTCAGGCTGCAAAGGGAAAATTACACAAGAAATGCAAACTACTATGGAACATTCTGATATTATAAGGAAGATGACTGAGCAATTTGATGAGGTTTTTTTTATTCAATCATTAAGTTGTTTAACATAATAAAATAGGATAGTGGTGATTACCCTATTATTAGTGGAGGGATTTTCAAGCGTTTTAGAATAAACTTTTGTGACTTTGTTCAGATATTAATAAAACAATGTCAATATAGTATTATATTCGACCCCTATGTTATTGATAACATACTGCATTTTTTAATTGGATTGGCTGATTCCCAAGTTAGAGCTTTCAGACATACATCAACTTTAACTGGTTTTTAAATTTTTTTAAATTTTATGTAATTTATGCTATATATAGCTTTGAAGATAATGTCAGCCCTTGTTGATGTAGTATTAAATATAAACACAAATATTGATTACACAATCCGGCAATTTGAAACAGAGAAACAAAAATGTCAAGGAAAAAGACCTACAGAAAGATTGGAAATGCTTACTCAAAAAAAACAAGAGGTATAATATTTTGCAAATTAGTTTCATTTAATATTATTTAGACTGAAGAAAACATGAATGATGTATGTACACAATTGAGCTATATATTTAGAAGTATTTTTGTACATCGATATCGGTATATGTCATTTATGTGATTTATTTTAAATTTATTTTACAGTGATACAATTCCTGATGTTAGAGCTTTATGCATGCAGGAAATAGGTATATGGATGAAAAAATTTCCTAAGATGTTTTTAGATGATAGCTATTTAAAATATATTGGTTGGACCCTATATGATAAAGTTAATATAATATCCTATACAATTTCATATAAATTTATTTACCAGGTTGGAGAAGTTAGATTGAAATGTCTATTATCACTCCAGCCTTTATATGCTTCAGAAGAACTTACAGTCCGATTAGAGCTATTTACAAATAAATTTAAGGTTAATTTTTTAAAATTCAATTATTTTTCTATTTATAGTTAAATTTTTTTTTCTTGTGGTTAACATTATGGAACTCAAGATAATAATAGCTATTACCATTAAATCTTTAGGAGTCTGAAACCTTTAAACAGTCAATAATATCTGGCTTTATAAAATTTTTTATCTATGATAAATCTTGATCATTATCAATTATTTTAATCATTTCATTAATAAGTTTATATTTTTTAGTTTCTAATATAAAACGTGTAACATTTATTGTTTCCCATATATACTTTACTAAAATTAAAATATTTCAGTTAACTTCCACCTGTGTTAGTTAAATAGTCCTCCTAATTGTTAATGTTTGGTTCAGGCATGTAACTAATATTAAAAAATTATCTTTGGGTCGATTTTTAAAAACGACCTGATTAAGATTTTAGCCATAATGTATTGAGATTTGGCAAATTGAGGTTTAAATCTTCCTGCCATCTGTTAGCAAAATCTCCAGGTTTACACAATATTTTTTTGGTTGGTTAAAATTATAACCGCGCCGTTTTTAAAAATACCCAAATCGGACTTTTTAAAAACACTATATGCAACCAAGGGGGTGGGGGGAAGGGGAAATCTCCCCATTGCAAATTTGTCTGTTCTCTTAAATATCATTTTAAGCTAATAAAAATTTTCCTCCTACACTCACCCCACCCTCTTATCCCCCAAAAATATATACAATATATCACTTCAAAAAAGGAATGTGAAAGAAAAATGTTATTTTAATATAGATTTATATATCATGCTATTTTTTAATATAAATAAAGAGATCATAAAAATAAAAAAGGTTGAAATAAGCGAAACCCCAAAATTATTTTAATAAAGAATAATATAGCTAATGACCTACAATAAGTGAACCTACTTCATATGGGGGAAAATCCCGCCTAATAGTGTTCCCCTCTTAGCAAAATGCTGACACCTATGGTTTGGTTATAACTCGCTAAATAATTATTAATTTTTTTATAATTTAATTATTTGTAGGGTTGTTAAACCCGGGTATATTCCCTAGGAATTTATTGAAAGGGAATATTCCCAATTTTTTAAAAATTATTAAAAGAGCATGGAAACATTCATTCAAAATATTCTCGTAGCTCACATTTAATAGTAAGTCTATTTTATTTGGCAATACACCTTTTCCCAATTAAATCTAACAAAGCAACACTTTCTGAAATACCTGACGCAATGTTTAATAAGAAATCTCAAAAGAGAAGAAAATTTTTGCTGCAAAGAAATCCATTTTTTGTAAATATATTGGATCTCAGATTTATGGAGAATAACCTTGATTAGTGTTGTTAAACGGCTCGATTTGAGCCGATTTTTACAAACGGCTAACTTAAATATATATCTTGAAAATTTTTACCCAAGCGATGCTGATAGATGGCACAAAGGTTAAGATCTATTAATGAAATCTTGAGTCAGACATTTCTGGCTGAAATATTGAGTTAGCCGTTTTAAAAAATCAGCTCAAATCGAGCTGCTTAACAACACTAACCTTGATAATATTGAGATTGGTCATGGTATCTCAATATTATTTTTAGATGCTACTTGGATTATTGGAAACTTAGGAGAATATTGAAATCAGCAATTGTCCTTAAAAGCAATAGAATTTTGGAAGAAAATAGCTTATCAGATGATAATGATGTTGAAAGGGTTGATGATAGTAAATTGTGTTTTGAAAATGTATTTTTTTAAACATTTAATGTATATTCTTATTATATTTTTTATTTGTATTATAGTTTATCTTTTGTTACCTGAATATAATAAAGTATAGTATTAAATTGTACAAAAAGGAAGGAAAAAATCAAAATAACGAGAATAAAATGCGAATATTTTAATTTTACTAGTTTTTTTGTAAAAATTACCCAAATAAATAAATTTCCAAAATTTTTTTATTCAAATTTATTAATTTATATTATTTTTTTAAAAAAATGAATTTTTGTAACTGGCGAAAAATGATTTAGACCACTATTTTATTTTTACATTAAAAATACCTTATGTTATTTTTTTCTTCAAAATTAAAAATTTTTTTTATTTATATTTTTTATATTTAGGACACAGTCTATAGTAAAAAATAAATATAATATATCATATTATAGGTAAAATCTCTAAAGGTCTATCGAAAGAAAAAAATTTGACGCCTATTCGAGTCTTTGACTTCCTGTGTACTTTGTGTACCTTATAGATTTGTCCGTGTTTTTAAGCAGTAAGAGGAGTTGGTTTTCGAAATTTTTTTTGCCTTTAGTTTTGACACCATAAATCTTGGCGACGCTGCTTTTCCGAAATATACTACGGATTATGGTTATTTTAGTTCTTCTCATTAATTTATTATTATGAAGTTATTTAGTGCCAATCCGATTCGATATTAAATATCGGCAAGGCCCTATAAAAAACTAAGTAAAAAAAATATTTAGGTTAAGTCTACAGGGTGTAATGAGTTCCATGTATAGATGTATTTATTTTATAAAGAATACATGAATAGTAGTTTTTTCTTCAGATGATATTTATTTAACACCCCATGGCTCCAGTATAACACATTTTTTACACAAATGAAGAAAATTATGGGTACTAAGTCTACACCCTATAAGTAGATCAAATATTTCAACCATGATGACCAGCAGATCAAATCTAAAAAAACATGAATTAAATTAAATTCTGATAAAGATTCTTATGAAGATGATCTAATAAGTTTTTTTGAAACTTTAAATATATTTAATAAATTTACCCAATTAAAATTTTTATTTATTAAATATAATACAATCCTCTCATACGCCAGTTGAACGTATGTTTAGCACAGCTAGAGCTATATTGAGCTAAGCGCTCTTGTTTATCGGATCAAAATTTTGATAATCAATTGTTAAAAATAAGAATTATTATAAAAAGAACTTATTTTATCTTATAAAATATTATTTTTGTATAATTTGATTTTTATTATCTATGGAGAAAAAAAGAAAATTAATATATAATATTTAGTATTTTTTAAATAACAAGTAACGCGGTATTATTTTTGAATAGCAACGTGTTTTTTTTCTCAGAAGGTAACGAGCAATGGTAACGTATTCCTTTTTTCAAACGTAACGTAATGAGTAAGGTTCTTTTTTGAAGTATTCATATGAATACGAATAATAAATTCAGTTATAACTTAGCTTTTTATTTTTTTTCTCTTAAACGAAAGTTTAAAGATAATCAATATTGCAGTAGTTTTTCATTATCAGTTTTTATTTAAACGTTCAAACCGAACTTATATTATTCTGTTAACTGAACCTGAGTCTAAACTCTTTTTTTTATCTGAACCGAATGTTTGTTATAGTTAAACGTATCCCTGGGTTTACTGTATAACCTTAAAATGTAGCATCATTTAAAGGCTCCAAAAGGTTTTACACATACTATAAATCTTTTAGACACTCTAAAAAGGAAAACATTCTTCTAAATCCGAAATTGCATATTCTATCTGTTTAATTTAGAACTAGACAAGTAGAAAATTTAATAATGAAAATATATCAAGTAAACTTTTACAAATTTTGATTGTAAAGGATCGCATAATAGCTATGACTCTGGACAAGGAATATGAAGTTGCTGTTCAGGCTGTAAAGTTGATCAATAACATTCTTAAATTTCATCGAGAAATTTTAACCGATAGAGATTGTGAACATGTTTATGAGTTGGTTTACTCCATACACAGACAAGTAAGTTGATGTTTATGTGATAAATGAATTTTAACTATAGCTCTAATATATATATTACACTTTTTATTGCTTTAATTTATTATTGATTATATTGTCTATTTTGAATGATTTATTTAATTATTTTTACCTATATATATTTTACAACTAATTGTAATAATAATGACAGTTCATTATAATAATAATATGCAGGTTTGTATTTTAGACTATGTAAAAAAATTTCCCATTCAATTGTTTTTTTTATTTAAGTAGATATAACTAATAAATTTATTACATATATTCTCTCCTTCTTTTATCAATCTGAAATACGATAAATTGTTTTCCTATCCCTTTTGACAAAATCTCCAAGCTTAGATAATTTTTTGGCAAAAATCATAATTTAACCTAACACTATGAAAATAACTACTAGACATCTTAAAATCCTTTTCTTATTGCAGATATAACATATTTTTCTTTTAATATAATTATAAACATTACAAATAAATTGAATTTAATATGGGATTTTTTTTTGAGAATATCGGCCTGATCTCATATTTTATCGCCTTAAGCCATAATATTTATTCTTTACAACTAATCATAATAATATAACAACAATTAATCATAATAATAATATACAAGGTTATATTTATATTTTAGACTATGTAAATTAACTAATTCATTATATTAAGGTTGCTCAAGCAGCAGGGGAATTTCTAAAGGAAAGACTATTTACATTAGATGAAGAAGCCATGGGAAAATCAATTAAGACAAAAAGGGGCAAGAAAAGGTTACCCAATACACCACTCGTACGAGATCTTGTTCAATTCTTTATTGAGAGCGAAGTTAAATTTTATAATAATTTTTATAGCCATATTATAGTGCGCACAAATTGAACGTTGCAACGCAGCGTTTCAAAACGCATATAAAAAAACGTAAACGCAGCCATGTTTAAATTGATGCGTTAAGTTTTATTTTTTCAATAATAAGCATTTAAATTTAAAACAAATAATCACCACAAGACCTTTCTTACCTAGCAGGGAAAATAAATCATATTCAATGGAATCAAAAATTCTTAGAGACAATTTTATAAATTATTAAATATTTATTATTGTATAAAATTTATTTTTGATAATATTTTATACTAAATTATGTTTACATATTTAATTTTTATAGAGATCATGTTATTAAATGATATAAATAAATTGAATATTAAGAAAAATTTAATTGATATATCCATTAATCTCTAAAATGATATAAATTAATTGAATATTAAGAAAAATTTATTTGATATATCCCTTAATTTCTTGCATGTTAATTTGGACATGATTCTAGATGTAGCCCATTGAGCTATTTTAAAGCTTGGGGAATGAACCTCAAATTAAAATAATATTAATTGTATTCTCTTTGATACAATTAAAATTTTCATAGAATTTAAGAATAATTTAAATATTTTATAATGTAAAAACTATATCTAAATGAGATTTATCTGTTGCTTCTATAAATAGTTTTCCAATATCAACCATAGTAATTAAGTGATATAACTAAATTAATTGAAAGTAAAATTTATTTGATATATCCCTTAATTTTTATTGCATGTTAATTTGGACACTATTCAAGATGTAGCCCATTGAGCTATTTTAAAGCTTGGTAAATGAACCTCAAACTTAAAATAATATTAACTCTATTTTACGATACAATTGAAATTTTCATAGAATTTAAGACATATAATTTAATTATTTTATAGTGTGAAAACTATACCTAAATAAGATTTATCTGTTGCTTCTATAAATAGATTCTCAATATCAACCATAGTAATTAAATGATATAACTAAATTAATTGAATATTAAGAAAAATTATATTGATATATCTTTTAATTTCTATTAAATGTTAATTTGAACACTAATATAATTTGAACACTAATATAATTTGAATGTTAAGAAAAATTAAATTATGAAAATAGAGACAAATATAATATATAAAAATTTTATTAAAAGAATCTAATGTCAATATAAAAATTAATATAAAATATATAATAAATAAATAATTTATATAATGCTATTAAATATGTCAATGCAGATTCATTTGTAAGTGTTGGTAAGGTACCATTTGTCTTCAGATAGTATAGAAATTTTAAAACCTCAGTTTTTAACAGCATTTGGTTGTCTAGACTCTACAAGGCTATTCATAAAAAGTCTAAATAAAATATAAATATAAAAATTAGCTTTACTGCATCCCAGATGGCTTTTCTTCCAAAATTTATTAACCTATTAGCATTTAGTACTTTAGGTTTCACATGAAAATTAACATTTCAAATATTTAAAATTAACTTTTTGAGAATATACACTTATAATTTTTTATGAATATTAAAATATTTTGTGGGATTTATTTAAATATAGATGGTAAATAAAGTCAATATAAATTTTGGATCAGTATTGTATAGGCTTTGTAGTAATATCAGAACAAAATTTGAGGGTTGGCACAGCTCTACTCTTTATTTTCTAAGTAGTTATTATCAACTTACCAATAAAATAAATAATAAGCAGGATTTCCTATTTTCTCCTTATTCAGCTTATCCTTGAAGTTTGTCAATTCCAATGCTAGTCTAATTATATTATTATATTTAACATTCTTATATATTTATACCTGTAAACAATAACTGATAAATGTTCCATAACAATGAAACTTTTTTTATGGTAGTCCAGGATTTCTCCAAATCTTTTGCTTATTTCATCGTTCCATATCTTAAAATTATTATTATATCATTTAATAATTATTATTCTTACAATTTAGAAGAATTTTATCACTTCAAAATTTAAAAATTTTTAAAACGCAAGCAAGTTTGTCTTTTAAAAAATAATTTAAAATGAAAAATGGAAATGTTCTCAATTTGAACGAATGCATTGTTTGCGTTTTGAAACGCTGCGTTGCAACGTTCAATTTCGCACTATAATGCTCTTTTATATTTTATTAATTTTATACAACTTTTGATATTATTATATTTAGTTATTATGAATTTAGAATATTATAGGGTACATCGTGGTGTTTTATTAAACTTTTTTAGTTTATTACTGTTTCGTAATTGGAATATGACCCATTTTCTTTTTTTATAAATCAAAATGTTTTTTTTTATTTTATGATCAAACAATATTATTGGAAGCCACGAGTCTTGACCAATTTATTTTTGACAAATATATTTAATACTATTTTTATCGTTCATTCTATTTAAATATTATATCCCAACATTGTGTTATCTGATGTTTTTTGAGGCTTATTACCTTTGATAATTATACACTATAAAAAAAACTCTAATCTTTATTGTGAATATACTATAAAAAACTCTACCAGTAGTACAGCCATTTTATAACTCATTCAATTTACCCAACACAACTCTAAAACTAAAATTAATAAATTTTCAACTTCAAATTTTATTGATTAAATATATTTTAAAAAACTAAAAGTCATCATAATTATAAAATCTAGTCCCTTTTATACTTTTGGAGATCACGAGTTTTACACGAGATCAGGCGACTATTTATATATTTGATAAATATTAATCAAAATAATTTTTAAAAATAAATAATAATAATAATATGACAAATATGACATTACCAATGGCGTAGCTAGATATTTTCCTTGGGGGTTGGGGGATCGGCACCTATAAAAATCTGGGACTTTGCCCCCAGAGCACCATTAAAGGGCCTTTGGTCACGTCTTAAAAATCATATATCTTTTTATTTTTATCTAAATATTAAGTTTTTAACAATATAATATCATCATGGCACTTCTAATTAAATTAGCACAAAATTTGAAATTTATATATTATACTTTTTTTTAAAATTATTTTATGCGATAAATTTGAGATTTATATATTATACTTTTTTTAAAATTATTTTATGCAATAAATATGATGATTAAAGAGGTAGGATGTTTTCTATTGGTGCCAGAAAATAAGTTGAATTCTCTATTAAAGCAAATATATAGGTAGTTTTATACAATCCTCTAATTTTTTCTTTAAAGGCTTAAGAAATCATATTTAAATCATTTTACTTATTTTTAAATTAAAGTTGAATGTGATTGGTTTATTATAAACAGGGCTGTGAACCCTCCTTCTATAAAAAAGGATTTGTTGGGTTCAATGAAAAATCTCTGAATCAAAGTCGAGTTCAGGGTTTGGTGTCCAGAATTGTAAATTTTTAAATTTACATAAAAGGATACACTAAATAAAAAATGATTTTCATAAAAATATTTTTATTATTGAAAATAAAACAATTATGTTCTAAAATTTAAATACATTTTTTATTATATAAATATTTTACATGCTATTTTTTAATACTGGATAAATTTTTTATAATTTAATATAAAAGATTCTTGAAATAATTTTAACGATTTTAGCAGTATTATACATTATCAATTCACCTACTTATAGTTTTTAATTACACCCTAAACTATCTTTCTTACACATTTATTTGTTGGTATATCAATATTAAATAATTTATTATATTCAATAATGATATCTTTCCAGAAATATATATCAGAAAACTTTTAATATTCACATTCAGCTAACTCAATATTAAAAATATTATTCTATAGTTTAAAACCCCTCCCATCGCTATTCCACTGCTTATTACTCATATTTCTAGTATGTCTTGAAACATGTATTATTTTTTATTCAAACTTGGAAGGGATCAGCTAACCAACAGTGTAGAGTTATTAGCAAGATATTGATTTTATTATATATATTAAAAAATATATATTATACTTATCTTACCTTAATAAAATTTAATACGAATTAATTTCTATTGAAGAAAAACAGCAATTAATTAATTAAAAAACTGACTTTAATTATTCTAAAACTACATTTTTATTATTCAATGGCACTTACAGTTGAATACAACTTTTGGAGCTTTTCATTTTAAATATAATATAGAACCCTATCAGAATTTTTTTAGTCTGGACAGCGTCTACATAAAGGGGGGGGGGGTAGGAACATTTGCATTCTTTTTTGAGGGGGTAGGGGGTAGGATAAATTTTTTGGGGAGTTATCTATTAAATTTTGAGATGAAATAGGACAAAATTTATTGCTGTAAAAATTAATACTTTTATTATAATATTATTATAATACAATTCATCGACCAAATCTATATATTGCAAACAATCATACACATTGTTTTCCAAATAAACTATCCTTTTAAATGTAATTTAAAAGGTTTATAATTTCAGCAAGCTTATAATGCCATAATAATTAATTCATTGTAAATAATGGAGGTTTTTATTGAATTTATTATCTAAAAAATAAATTTTTTATATTCACAAAATATCGATAGTTAGTAGTAGAGATAGATTAATTTAAGTTATCCTTTATAAATTCTTTGAAAAGAGTATCAATAAATAAATAGGTGTAAATAATGATAAAGAGACACCGCCACCGAAGGTGGCATAATTTTTTTAGGGGGGTAGGCAAAGGTTTTTGAAGGGGGTTTGCATCCAGTGAAAATCCTGTCATGTAGACGTTGAGTCTGGTTCTTATCCAATAAAAAAAAAATTTAAATTTGACAGAAGATATTCCAACTTTTTTTACAATTTATTTTTATAATAAATTAAATAGAATGATTTCCATTGTTAGGTTATAACAAATTGTGAATTTCAAAATTTAAATCAGAATTCACTTTATTATAATACTCTTTTAAAAAAATAATAACCTTGAAATTGGGAACCAAAGTGTTAAATTCTATTTATTTACTAATGATTTTTTAAAAAATTATGAATTATACAAATAAATATTTTTAATAATAGGAACCGTGGATGAGTAGAAAATAGATTATATCTACATATTTATTTTCCTCTGTTTTGTCTCAAACAAAAATATTGATTTGGATAGTCAGAGATGGCTGATAATCTCTCGCTCATTTTTAAACGATAGGGCTTCATGCCCCTGCTAAGTTTGAATGTGACCACATATAGAATATTTTTTATTTAAAAAGGAATCTAAAAATTTGAAAACTAAAATTATAATTTTATTAATTTAGCTACATGAACATGGTGCCTATCTTGTTGATAGTTTGATTGAAACTAATGATATGATTAAAGATTGGGAATGTATGACTGATTTGCTTATCGAAGAACCTGGTAGAGGAGAAGAAGGTTTCTTATACTTTTATAATATTAAGTTCATAGATTTCGGGTTGCTTTGGAGGTAGCAAAATCCTAAGAATGCGTTGAAAAAAATTTACTCAAGTAATAATTTTTATTATAGATAGGGAGATAGGTGTTATACGGCAGGTTGGGTAAAATAGCAAAAACGTCTATAACCTTTTCATTTTTAGGACTAATCTATGAATTTGCTCAAGAGATATATTTGTGTACATACTATTATCTTAGATTATTTTTTTTATCAAGGTGCTTGTTTAGTTCTTGTACATTACTACCCCCGTTCTTATTTTTTGATCCCCCAAAGAACGTTATAAAAAGTGTTTATTTTATTTTAAATATTTATTTCAAATGAATTTAATCACAAATATTAATATAGCTTTAGATAATAATCAAGAAACCAGTTTGATTGAAATTATGACTTGCTGTGTTAAACAAGCTGCGACGGGAGAGGCACCAGTCGGTAGGACAACATCGAAAAAGGGACATGTAACTTGATAATTATACATATCAACGATTTTAGATTATACTTTATAATGAAATAAATATGACGATTTATATATAAATAAGCTATCGGCAAAAGAAAACAAGTTACTCCAAGAGGAACGGAGCAAATTGACAGAACACTTTATTATAGCATTGCCAAGCCTTTTGGCTAAAGTGAATATAAATAACTCGCATACAAAATTAACTTAAATTATAGTATATAGCTGATCCTGAAAAAATTTCGAATCTAATGTTAATTCCACAATATTTTGATTTGGATTTATATACATCTAATAGATGTGAAAAGGTTATAATAATTATTTTAAAATATTGGCATATATTTGTTATCTTGCAGTACCTGGAATATTTTTTGAAATATGCAGAAGAAATCATGCTAAAACATATGAATCCAGACGTTTTAAGCACTTGTGCAAAAACTTATGAGTTATTATGTTTGGAGGAAAACTCAATCAATGGCAGATGCAGAATATCTAAGAGCACTTTGATTGACAATTTAGTTGAAAGATTTAAAATTACTTATGAAGAGTTTATGCAAGAAGTTATATAAAATTTTATTAATTTTTTATTAATTAGTATATCATAGAAGGAAGAACCGGATGAAGATCAAATATTTGCTTTATTATCAAGTTTAAAAAGATTAAGTTCATTTAATGAATTTCACGATATTACGAATTGGGATTTATGGGATTATTTAATTACAATTTTAAAATATGGATGTGATGTGAATAGAAAATTTCCAATATCTCAAGATATTCTCTGTAAAGCTTTATCTTGCGCACATTTTCATCTTCTTTGGTACCTTAATAATATTAACAATGTGGCCATGACATCAAAAAAAGCCTCTATCGAAGATAAAAATAATTTAGAAAGTCACGATATAAACAATTTATCGGCAGCTATGATAGAATCAATAAAAACTCTAAAATCTCGCCTGTGTGATTATATTACTTTTGGTCAAGAATTGATGTATGCAGGTTCATATTTAGAGGAAGATGTAAGTATTTTTTTATGTATAAGAATTACATTTTTGTATTTTAAATATAAATTTTTTTTAAGATATATTTATCAATCTGTGATTTGTTAATTGCTTTCAATCGACACATATCATATATTAACCCAACATTAGAACACATTATATTTGAGCCTGACAAAAATTTGATCGTAAATATTTTAGACCTAAATAGATACATTAAATATTTGAATAGACCCAATTGAACAGTTTCATTATAGAAAAAGTATTTATCAATATTTCTGAAAACGAAGAGGAATTCACAGTCGGCGGCCATGGGAAGATTGAGCAATTAAGAAAAGGAAGAAATTTTTTGGCATCTTTTTGCAAATTAATAATATATAATGTGATTAGTATTCAAAATGCAGTTGATATATTTCGGAACTACACTAAAGTAATTAACTTTAATTTAATTAATGCTTAGATATAATTGACATTTGACAATCATTATAAAATATTATTAATAAAAGTAATAATAATTGTATTATCATATTTGTTTTTTCATAGTTTTATACAGATTATGGAGACATTATAAAAATGACAATTGGTAAAGCTCGGGAAATTAATAAAGTTAGCTGTGCCAAAGTGATGATTACAGCACTGCAATATCATTTTAAAGATATGTTTAAACTATCTCAAAATGAATTGTTGACTTCGCACAACAATTTACAATCTACAGAAGCATCAGGCAATATCAATGTCTTAAATTTAATTAAAACGAATTCATGGCATGAAGGATTCTCATCATTAAAAGAATTAGGGAGAAGATTTTGTTTATCATTTGGATTGGATCAAATAAAAAATAGGGAGGCTATAGCTTTGATACACAAGTTTAATAAAGTATATTTATAGACATGATTTATAAATTAATTAGAGAAGGTATTATATTCTCCTTATCTTCAACACTAAATAATATGGAAACTGTGCAAAATCAAAATTACTTGTCGCCTCCACACAATTTATATTTTTTGGATGTAGTCGGTGAGTTTTCTAATAAACTTATGAAGCAAGACAAACGTACCGTGTATAATTTTTAAACATATAGTCTCTTTAATTTTTTATTTTTTTAAGGTTGACATTTTTGGATAGGCATTTATCACCTGGTACATTGAGTTATAAAGGTGACGAATGGCAACCTTTATTTAATTATCGAAATAGTCTATTACAAAATATAGATATCGAATCTCACACAAAAATCAGATCCAATCATAATATATCACAGCAATATATTCACAATTCCCCTCTAGCTTTAAATCAACCAAATTACTCACTTGCAAATAATTCTCATTTACAAAATACAATAATGGGTAATGAGATAAAAATATATCTTAATCACGCATTTTTATTTATAATACAATATGTAAAAATATAAAATAACTTTATTTAGATTCCTTTGCACAGTCAATTATACCTTCTGAATTGCACCCAATATATGAACATGAAGAAGAAATGGCTGAAATAGGAGAAAAAGATTTAAACATGTTTAAATATATTATATTTGTGATTAGGAATTAAATATTTGATTGTTATATATTAATTCTTATTTTATTTTAAGGTTTTTAGGTAATACAAATTTACCCATCGAAGAGGCTGCAGGATCTAGTACGAGATTGAGATTATCAGAAACTCAACAGCAAAACCAATTACAGAATAGCTCACTTTTTCAAAAGTTTATAAAAACTATATATGTTGTATTTCATATTAAATTAATCAAAAAAAACTATTCTCAAACCAACTCCTCTAATTTAAATTTTTTTTATGTTAGTATTAGAAGCCTGCAAAGTGATTTTTTCGAGGTCCTTACCCAACCCATACCCGAATTTTTTTAAAAAAATTTGCTCGATCCAAGCCTGAGTACATATTTTTAGATCCGACCTGAGCCTAACTAAAAGAAAATTAATAATTTGAGCTTATATACTATAAAAACAATTATAAATTATGTATTTATTAATATAGCCACCTTAAATAAAAGTATATTTAACCCCCATTTTCTAATCAATTTCATATAAAGTTGCATTTTATTTAATTTGTATACATATAAAAAAATTTTTTAATTATTACAATCGAATTTATAAATTATTGTGATTATATAAAAATAATTTGCATGATTGATATCGAAAAAAGATGATACAATTGTTTATATTAGAAAAAATATTTACTAAAAAATAATAATGAACATATAAAAAAGACATATCAATAACAGTTATTCTGATTGACATTTTTGTGTAACAAAAGATATTTGCATTATTAGGGATATTTGAATTAATATTTATTGCCAAAAATTCCAAAATAAACCATTTAATTTTAAATATCTCAAAAAATAATTTAGCTCAAGTCAAAATTTAAATTTTATTATATAGCTTGATAATAGCCCTTTAAAATGACATGAAAATTAATATAGTGAATATACCAAAAACCATAATTGGTTGCATTTCTTTCAAATTTTTTTATAAATCTATATTATACTTAGGATCTTTAACTTCGATTTTCACAGGAAGATCTTCTTGAGTTTAAGGTTGTTCCAGCACATAAAACACTCATTGGGAGTGTTTGTAGCAGAACACAATATTTTTTGGCTAAAACGGAAATAGGCAGCTCCAATCTTCACTTTTCTCAAAATAGAAAAATATTATTTATTGGTGAAGATAAAGTAGAAAATATTGAATAACATCGTTTTGCGGAGAACAATTAGATGGATGGTTTATTCGTTAATTTTTGTATGTAACCCCATTTGGTAATAAGCTGATATTCACTATATTAATTTTCACGTAATATTATATTGTGGAAATGTTTTTCATCAAATCTGCACAACGCTATAAAGGACTATCATGGCTTTAATTAATTAATTTTTTGAGCTATTTAAAATTTGGAATTTTTGCCTTTTAAAGATGTCCATATCTTCAGAAAGTTTAATGAAATTAAAATTTTATACTTTATATATATATTATACCATCATATAAATTTTTAATAAAAATCGAAGTGAAGTTGGGTAGAATTTTCGTTGATTTGATATGGAATTCAACATATTATATATATGAATAATTAATATGTAATTTAGCAATAACAACCTAAACAATTTAACATCTTTTGTTATGAACACTGATATGTCTCATCATAATGATTCATTAGATCAAATTCCACCATTTATGGTAAAAGTAGTATTATCAATATAATATTTTTATATCTATCATAGATGTAAGAAAACTTGATTATTTACATTAAAACATAGAAACTACATACATATATTTTTAAATATGTTATTCAAGTAAATAATATTGTTATCAATATCTTTTATTGTATTTATTAATTATATGTGTATAAATAAAAATAAACATTAATTTTTTAATAATTTTGTTTTATAAATTTGAATTTTTTCTTTTAATTTTCTTCCATCTTCTCCTGCACCATATCTATCTAATATATAATCTAAATCCTCAAAATTTTTTGCCTGAAAGGCGCAATCACTAGCTTCTTCATATAATCCCACCCTTAAATAATATTTTGCCTATGTTTCAAAAAATCATATAGAAACATTTGATTATATAAACCTTTTTTTTTAAAGGAAGCTTTGATATATATTTAATTGCTTCGTGCTTGTTGCGCCATTTTAAACATATGTTTACAAAAGGTTCATACCCAAGTGGAGATCTTTTTTCTTTATCAAATTTTTCAATTTCCTTCCATTCGTTTATTTTAGCCAATGCATTTAATTTCATCCAATAATATCTTAATTTTTAAATTTCATTATAAAAAACATTACTATTTTGCAAGGTGAACAAATAAAAATCAATATTTTAATGCTTATAATTCATTTACCAGGAAGCATATTTTCTTTATTGTTAGTAATATAAGTATATTCTTTAAATTAACTTACAAGTAAAATAAATTCTTTATAATTAATTTTACTTAAATTGTCTAATTTTTCAAAGATGCAGATATTGAATAACAATAAATGCCACCTTGTGGATTAGATATTATTAAAATGCCATATTCTAATTATATTAATGTTACATTGTGGTCAAATTTGGCCCAATCTGCGGACTGTGCAAAAATATTTAAATGTTAGAATTAGGCAAATTTATGTCTTTTACCTTTATAAAAAAATTTATTGCTGGCCAGGCGACTAAAATTATTTTACAGGCCAAAAAACTTTCCATGGACTGGTTAGCCTCGTCCAAGAGGTTCTCAAAGAAATATTGTATCATAAAGGGGACACATCTATTACCTTATAAGCATCACTCGTTATGAGAAATTTGCAAAAAGCATTTAGTACACGTAATGACCTCTATCACTAAACAAATTCATTATTAGTTATAAAATCATGATTTTTTAAGAATTATTCTTTTACTTTACATATTCTATTATTTACCTATACTTATCAAATATTATTATACTGGGAAAAATGAAATAAAAAACTAAGAATTTCATAAAAATAATGAGACATCGAATGTTGTAAAGTAGAATGAAATTTTAGGAATATTTGTTTATATTCAAATCACTGAATCTGATAAAAATAAATAAATTAGAATAAGATGTAAAATAGATAAAATATGATCTCGGCCATTCATTTAAGCTTAATTACATACTATCCTCCATAGCGTTTAAATGGAGAGGGTGGGTATGGAGCATTTTGCTTCCAAATTTTCTGAAGTGGGGGTAGGGGTAAATTTATTAAATTAAATTTTTAGATGAAATACGGCAAAATATTTGCTGTAAACACTTATTTAATAATTTTATTATAGACTTAATATATGCTAAACATCTACCAAATCTATATAGTTCATACAAATAATCATCATTCATATAAAACTTATTTCTGGATAATTTTCTGCTATATTTTTAAATGTAATTTAGTAGGGTTATACATTCTAGAGAGTTTCACCAACTACCAGATCGAGAAATAGTTCACCCCCCCCCCGCTCCCTCACTTTTTTGATAATTATAGACATGGATAATAGATTCAGTATATTGAATAGCCATAGATAATGATATATTTGTATGAATGATTGTTAATCAATTAATTTTAAAAACGATTATATTACTTATATTAGCAACGTTTTAAAGTTAGAAGTGTAAAGAGATACCTTAATAAAGATTTCATTTCAAATTATATTATAAAAAAAATATTATTTTTTGACTACAATAATTAGATTTTAACCAAAAAATAGTCTCGAAATTTCATATAGATGACAGAAAGGTTTGGTCCTCTTTTGACCAAATCTCGAGGTCTAATATTTTTTGGCTAAAATCTTGATTTGTTTTTAAAATCAGTTAAGTAGTTCCATATGAAAATAATCATAATATTAGGGGCAAAATGTTTAAAAATAAGAACTGCGCTAGAAAATATAAATAAGAAACTTTTGGTTATCTCAATTCACATTTATCTCTAAAAATTACTGATTGTTTTTATAAAATAGCTATTAGATTAAAAATGTCATTATTATATTTTACCTTTTTTCCGATAACTTAAAAGTTCTTCTCAGATCTTCTGAAAATTTATTTTTATTAATTATGAGATATTCTTCAACATCATATATGGATAAATTACAATAATTTGCTGGCAATAATTCCTTAAACTTAGGAAATTCAGTTAACAGTAAAATTTGATCATCAATTTGTTTAGCATAAAATTCATTGAAGTCTTTGGTAAATAATAATTTCACTTTCTACCATTTTTTTATAAATAAAAAAATATTGAATTAAAATTTTAAATATGATTTTATTATGCATAAAAATATCACCAATCTTTTAGTAAGGTTACAACAATTCTGAATAATACCGGTCTCACAATCACCGTTAATATGGGATAGATTATCATATAGTAAAGAGATTAAAAATATATATATTAAGAAGCAGTATAAACTATAAACAATAGTTTATATATATTTTTTATCGAAATTAATATGATAATGAAATTTTATAATTTTAAGCATTTGATAAAAGAATTCATTTTTCAAATGGAACATCATTTATTTCTATTTGGTCTAATAGTCAAATCAACATAATAAAAAGGGCGTTTGAAGGGAGCGAAGGGTGACAAACTTGTATAACAAATATAAATTTCTTTGATTATCGGTTATGCAGTATATTAATTTAAATGATGGATCATGAAGATCTAAAACATTTTCAATTAGTGTTGTTAAATGGCTCGTTTTGAGCCGATTTTTAAAAACGGCTAACTCAATATTTCGTCCAGAAAAATATTACGCAAGCCTCAAGATTTTGCTCATAGAAGGAACAAAGGTCTAGGCATATATTATCGAAATCTCGAGGCTTAGGCAATATTTTCCTGGCTAAAATATTGAGTTAGCCGTTTTAAAAAATCGGCTCAAAATGAGCCGTTTAACAACACTATTTTCAATCCTAACATCATATGAATTCTTATTAGACTCCAACTATAAAAAAAATCATTTAGGTGGTTCGGGATTGGGCTTAAAAATAAGCGCAGTGGATCTTATCTTTAAGGATATTGCCGATGTCATAAAAGATTTTATAGTTTTTTTTTATCGGAGGATGTTAATTCCAAGTATTATTTATAGAATGGATGGGAAATTTGCTTGCCTAGCTTTTAATAAGCGATGCTAAATTTTGCTATATCTTTTCCTCAGTCTATGAGATATATAAAATCTAGGGAAAAAAATCTCCACTTTTTTATTTTTAGAAAATTAACAAGATAGGAAAAATATCCTCAAATAAAATACTAAAACAACAAAAAGAATTTTTTAAAATAAATTAATAACTAGCTGTAAGTTTCTGTGATATTATCATAAGCTAAGATTTCATGGAAATGGCCACTGATTTTTTATTTGGGCTGAAACGGTTAATTCTTCCAATGTGTTCGGAATAGGAGGAAACCTCTATTTTATGATTATGCCCGCTTGATGTTATCCTCATTCGGAACTGTATTTGGGGGAAAATGTAGACATTTTGTCTGCTGTCTATATTTGGCAAGCATTTTCATTTGTTTTAGAGGCTTTTCTTTTCATCGTGTTTATAGAATTTTCAATTTATAAGATGGATATGAGGAATATTTTCCAATGAATAATCATTTTTATTGTAATAACTGGCTATTTTTCAGCATTATACAATGTTTATATTTATTTATTTATCGTAGTTTTATGATAAGTGTAAGAATAGTCTTCATGAAAATGCGAGCTTATTTAGAATAAATATTAAAAATTTGATTTATGATAATAAAAAACAAATAGGGTGACCTTACAAACAGTTTTTAGGCATATTCAAAAATGAGGCCCTTAATTTTATCAAAACCATTTGCAAAAAAAGGCTACAGATTAGAGGCGACCCCAAAAGGATTCTACATAATCTTCCGGTACAATTTGTTAAGTCACTCCTTTCTAGGGTGATATGTACCACCTTTTTTAAACTCTTTTTATAATGTTTCACTGGTTTGAGTGACTAAGGTGTTGGTGATTATTGGTATGAAGACTGCGTTTGTTATTTTAGAGGCTCGATAAATAATATCGGCTTAACGGTTCGGTTCATGTAAAATTTTGACATGATATAATATAAATTTCACAATAATGATTTTCGCAAAATAAAATTTCTAATATTGAGAATAAAAAACAATTACTGAACCCTAAATTTTTAAAAAAAAGTCGAGTAAGAATTCAGTAAAATCTCGAGGGTTCAGGTTTTCAGCCCTGTTATGAACATTTATTTTAAAATATACAACACTATGTCTTTGAAATTATTTTCAAAATGAATAAGGAGTAGGAGTTATTTTTTAAAATTTTGCTATATTTCTAATAATTTCTCAAAACTACCAGATTGGCGAAAATTAATCATATTTATATACTACTGTCAAAATAATCATGTTTAAATTATATACCAATATCCAAATATTTCATTTTATTAATAATCCTACAAATCAAAAGTCAATTTTTTTTTCCTCGAAAATATATTGATAAACCGTCCATAAATGTAAATTACAAATTGACAGATACATTTCTTTAGAAATCAAACTGGGGTAAAGAAATACAATTTATAGCGAGTTTTTTTATCTCCTCACTAATAATGTATAAAAAACAGATAGTGTGTTTCAATGTAAAAATGAAGGCCTAATTTTTATTGTTTAGAAATTAATGCAAATGTCTATTTTTTTTAAATCCTAATCGGTGCCTTAAAATGGTCTCAAGCGATAAAAAACACTTGCTATTGCATTAGGACTAGACCTATTGACCGACCAATCCTTTTCAAGGACCGTAGTCCGGGCCGGTCTTTTTATTTTTCCAGTCCAGATCAGTCATTTATTAATATCTAGGATTGCCCTACTATTAGATTCATATAATTTTTTACCAAAATTGTGTACATTTTATATTATTACTTAAGTAGTTAATTAGTCTTTATGACTCTTTTTTAGTTCATTCCTATTTTGTAATATATAAAGAAAACGAGTCAAAAAAGCATTTTACTTAAAGTCCTAATAAAAAACAGAATGTGTGCATTGCAATACCAATTTTAATGTATCGTCAACAGTAATTTTAAATAATTAATATTTATTCTAAATAAAAATTATTAGGGGCTTAAATAGGCAATTTATAAAACATCAAATTTTATCTTTCATGATGAAAATCCTTAAAAATCTAATTACTCATAATTTTAAAATGCCATCTGCCTGCACAAGGTCACTTTCCTGAATACCATTAGATAAATATCATACTGAACATATAAATCAAATAATATTTAAATGGTTTATAATAGAAAAATGGAATAGATCAGCACTATTACCCCCCCCCCCTCTCTAATTCCTTTCAGTACAGTTTTAGACAACACAGACATTATCATTTATATAAAATGATAAAACAAGAATTTAGTTTAGTAAAAACGTAATTATTTTTAAATAATAGTCTAAACCGGTTTCTTTATAAGGAAACCATTTTGGTCCGGACTCGGGCCAAAGACTGGACCGTTACCTTCGCTAAATTGCATTAAAAATTTCATATATAGCGCCATCTATACGTTCCTTATATATCATAAGCGTTATTTTTTAAGAACATTAAGCAGCAGCGCTAATTATTGAAAAAATTATTAAAATAGTAAACGAGCATTAGGAGAAAAAAATAGTCATTTTAAAAATTTAATTTTCAACCAGTCATAACTCATAATTTTTGTTTTTTTTAGCTAATTATCAATTATTGACTTATATAAATTTTAATTAGGGATGTACCGATATTTTATATCGGATCGGGCCGATATTTCAACCATTTTAAAATAACGCTTATCGGCAAATATAAAATTATCCCATCCGATAAAAAATGGCGCTTTTAACAAAAATAAAATTTAAAAAAAAGGTTATAATCTAAAAAACCATTTATTTTATAAATAAAATCGAAATCCATTTTTATGTTTAATTTTTTAGTAATAATTAGTTAATAAACATTCTGCTATGTAGTTATTTTTTTATATAAATAAGTAATTTATCAATAAAAATATTTTATATACTTTTAGAATTGCAATTGAATTGAATATAAACTATAACTGATCATTATAATATATTTAAATGACATATTATGGTATAGTAAAATTATAGATGTTATACTAATAAAAAGTATATTAAAAATTAAAACCATTGGTATCTTTACATACAAAATTAGATATGATATCGGATCGGTAATCGGCCGATATCACTCTAATATCTGGAATATCGGATCGGATCGGCCTTCAAAAAGTGGTATCGGTACACCCCTAATTTTAATATTTACATTTATCTAGTTTTTAATTAACTAATTATTTAATTTTTATCGAAATTAAAAAAGAGGTCGGCAGAAAATCTCAATTTCTTACTCATTTGACATGCATGTAATGAATTCATTCTTATTCACATTTAAATGATAAAAAATCATCAATGGCCCAATTTATATAAAGTGGGATATTATATAGAATTTTATGAGTTTTTAAATAAAATAATTTAAATAAACATAAATTTTAAAAAAGATATAAAAATACTTTATATTGGTATTTAAAAAGATTATAAATTGAGAACCTTAAAGTTAGATAATATTTTGCAGAGGTAAAACAAATGTTTAAAAAAAGATATATATGATGCGTCAGTTAAAATTTTCATTATTTAATATATTATGAAAAAGTTTTTATTACCTTAAGTTTGGTAATTTTTTGTAACATGTCCATTTCATTGAAAGAATCGTATAATAAATTTAAGGCCATTTTATTGTTGTCTTCTTTCTTTGAAAAAAATTTCAATAATGGCATATTTAAATCGAAATTCATTCTAAATACTCCAATCTTAACTTGATGATTGATTTTGGGTTTAAAATATACGACTTTACAAAATTTTGCATAGATATTATTAATTGGTATTGAAGTTTTTAATATAAGTCCCATTAGAAAATTTTGCTTATTTAAAGCAGTTGGAGAGGAACTTAAAAAATGATCAGAATATTTGATGGCTTTTAAAAATATTATATAAATAAGTTCTGCGTCTGACACGCGATCAATAATATTGAAATTCAATATTTGTGGATTTGGTGTATCATCATTTTTGAATAAACAAATTTGATTTAAAGCTCTATCGAAATCGCCTATTTCTAAAAGTAACTCAATTTTATCGTTTATGTTATTTTCAAAATCCGACAAAAGACGTGCTAATTCAGGTCGACCTGCTTGCAAAGCTTGATGAGCAATTTTGCTATAAGGAATTCCAGGAGTTGGTCCTAATTTCGATGAAATGATCTTGGCCAAATCAATATCTGACAATTGAAGCTGTTTAGCCTAAAGAAAAATATTCGAAAATTGATTATTAATTAAATAATACTTTATAACAAGCCCATTTACCCAGAATGTAACTCGTCGTATTATTAAATAAATAATCAGACGACATGAATTCAGCTATTTCAATGCTAACTGAAAACTGCTTACGTTCCATAATTCTTTCTAAAATTATTCCAACTCCCAAGCTAGTTTTATTTTTAAACATTTCAATCGATTCATTATCATTGCTTAATTCATTTTGATTTATTGTAGGATCACACATATATTTGAATTGTGAATAAGTTAATGGAATTCCAATAGTGTTGGGATTTTTGATCAAATTAAAAACCCTTATTAATCTACATGAATGAAAGAAAAAATTGGCAATTTTATGATCAAAATTTGATAAAAACAAGAAATTTTTATTTCGAAATTTATAACTAAATGGCAATAATTTCTGACCAAATGACGCAGCTTTTAATATTTTTTTCTGTAGGCGAATATCATATTCTTCTAATGCTGCTGTTATACATGTTATGATAGCTTTTGATAAAGGATTTTCATTGACTTTTGTGTTAGAATTTTTTAATATTGCCCCGATATATTCTTCAGATCTACGAATTTTAAAATTAATTTCCCTATTTTTCGATGAGGAATAGAAAGATTCAGATGAGTCTAATAAAAAAGCGGCTGGAGATACACTCCCTATTTTATATATTTCGACTAAACTTTTAGGAACAAGGTGTATTAAATAATTCGAATAACGAGTTAATACACGACAACCATCTATTTCACAAAAAAACTTTATCCCGCTATAAAGACTCGCATCATTATCATTGTTAAATATCTCGATATTATTTGGATAAACTAATTCTTCCAAATTTATGTTAATTGATTGTTGCGGAAATTCAATCGAATTCGGATTTTTGGTTGGTAACCAACTTATAATTTGTAAATGTTGTGAATTTGGTAGTAAAATGGCGATGCTTGTATTTCCACACCAACATAACTCGGGTATCAATATTTTTCGAGCTAATTTCATGTTAATTTATGTAAAAAAATTTATTTATATGGAAAAGACACTATATCAAGTAATTAATTTTACAGTAAGTTATTACTAATATGGAACACTTATTTTTGGCGTTTTTTCATACAATCAGCTTCAGAAATTGAGGCACTTTCGAGGAGATTCAATGAGTTAGGTAGAAGAAATAAACAATATAATCATATTTATGGTGCTATAGCAACAAGAACCAATATTTTTTAAGCCAAAAAAGGTCATTTTGAAAATTTAGCTAAGAAAAGGTCATTTTAAAAATAATTTCTTTTAAGCCCACTAGATTGTAAAGTAAAGTGACACTACTGGGCTAGGCATTATAACATGAATAGACGTGTGAGATATTAAATACCTAGGTGAAAGGATAAAAGCTGTTAAATAAAAGAAATTTTTTAAAATTACAATCCATGGGCTATATGATATTTGTAAGAAGGCATTTATATATTAAGATTGCTAAACCATAAAGAAAAGTGAATATCAAGAATTCTGAGTTGCAAGCAAATTCTATTAAGAATGAAACATGTGAAAGTTTGGGGATTTCGGCAGATATTAAAGATAAAGCTAGGGAGCACGTTAAGGTTGTTTACACATCGAAGAAATGGCGTAAAATGGTTAAAATATTATTTTTTTAAGTTAAGACTAGAAACTGATAAATATTAATGGATAAAAACAATTTTCAGGATTTCGATTTTAAAGTGCTATGATTTGAAATTATCAAACTTAAAATGTGAAGTTATGCTCCATCCTTACTCATCGTTGAGTTCCTTCAATATATGGATTTTATTAAATTAACTAAATTATTTATTTGAAACTGAGAGAAATAACATAGAAATTAAAAAGTAATAGTGGCAATTTTGATCTCTCAAACCAAAGAAGACCACGAATTTATATAAACAATCAAAGAATTATATTCAAACAATTAAAAATTTTAATTAATAATTAAATTTTCTATTATGACGTATACCTGCTTCCGAAACGATTGAGTAATTTATTGTATTTTCGATGTATTTATCATTATTTAAATCAATATCCCTCAATTTCATTATCCTAATCGTGTTAAAACTTTTCTCTAAGGATCCAATCCACAATACATCATTGTCCATTAAAAATAGAATATTAGATGAGTCAAAAGAAACCAAGCATTTTTTGACATATGTAAAAGGCTTTGAATTTGTAATAAAAAATTTGTGCTCAGTGCCATTTGATTCATAAATTGAAAGATGCGGTTCTTTATCTTTAAAAATCAAAATAAATGGTTCTTTATCCTAAAAATATAAATAATTTAAACATGATATAAATATATATCAAAAAAATATTCTTAATTAAAAAAACAATGTAATCAGAGTTGTTAACGCTCCTTTTTAAAAATAGCTAGCTCCCGCTCCTACATTCTCAAAAGGAGCTAGCTCCCGTTCCCGCTACTACATTTTTAAAAGGAGCTAACTCCCGCTCCAAGTAATGGAGTGCCACTCCATAACCGCTCCTTTGATTTTCATTTTTTTTAGAAGGTATACGAAACAAAATCATATTTTTTTTATCAAAAAGCTTTATTTATATTAAAAGATCTATCAAAATATTTATAAGCTTTTATTAGCTTTTAAAAGTAATAAATTTTCTAAATTAGAATCTAACAAACATCCACGCCTCTCCCCTAAGACATGTTTTTCAATACTAAATAGGCACTCCACAGAAGCACTAGAGGGAAGTAGGGTATTATATTTTATAAAGATATTTTTTATTTCGGGGAATTTATCAAAAATAGTTTTCATGGAATCCAAAAAAATCTTCCAAATTAATTTGTATTTAAAAGAAAGATTTTTTATTTAGATGCTTTTTTAGATTGAAGCTGCTCACTTTTGAAAATTAAATAGTTTTATTTAAACACAAAAGACATTTTGCCCTTAAATTTGTTTGATCATTTGGATCAACATCTTTTAGAAGTTTAAAATATTTTTTCTATGATGGAAATGGAAATTCGATTTCTTCATCTATGATCTCTAAATCCATAATATCTAAAACTATTTTTTATTATATATCCATAAAATGAATATTAATATGACTTACAAGATTTTCCAAAAAATTTTCAATATAAAGGAAAATTTGATGTTTAATATTTAAAATGATTAGATGAAAAACCAATATAAAACTCGGATAAACATTTAATAATGGATAAATTTAAATTAAATAAATAAAATTTCATTTTTTATTGAATTTTAATTAATAAATATTATTAATATTTAAAAAATAATTTAATTTATATATTAAATTTAAAGGTGGAGCGGCGCTCCTCCACTCCAGTCCTAAAAGGATCTAGCTACCGCTACCGCTCCCCAATTTTAAGAAGGAGGGGCGGGCGCTCCAGGTGTTTTTGAAAAAATGTAGCGCCGCTAAAAATTAGGAAGTTATCCACTTATCTCTCTAGAAATTTAGATTATGGCGTTTTCTGATAAGAATATGATATTCCTGTTCTAAATGACTTAAACATAATTTGCTTATTGTATAATGTTTAGTTGCTAATTTTGTCAAATTTGAATTTAATATTTTTATGATTCTCAATCGTTATATGTACCAGAGACCTGCAGGCCCGGTCTGAGTACACGGGCCGGGTCGTATTTTAATTTTTTTAATACATCTGGGCCTAGCTGGGTATGACGTTAATTTTAAATCGTCATTATTAGCCATAAAAATTAAAAATAAATATAATATTTTAAAAAAATCGGGCCGGGCATGAATTTCTTTTTAACAAAATCCGGACCGTGCAAATGGTACCTCTGCAGGTCTCTGATATTTACTATCTAATATCATCATACTCCATACATTTAAGATGTTTTATAATAAATTCCAGCGCTGAATAATTTTGTTCTATTATATACATTGACACAATTTTTAATTTTTGACATTTTAGGTCTAAAGGAGAATCCAACACAGATTATTTTTAAGTAAAAAATAAATTAAATAAATGAACATACTTATATATTATTACTTGCAGATCACAAACAGGAAATCGTAACGCTTTTTTTATATTTTCCTTTAGGGAAATGATTTCTGAACTATTATCATTAACATTAAAATTTTTTCAATTTCACTTCTAAAAAGTATTAACAAGTTTAATATAGGCCTTTTTGTGCAGATAGAAATTCAACCGTTTCTTTAAAATTAAAAGAAAACCTAATAGTTCTTCTTCTAGATCTGATTCATAGTTTGAGATAGTGTTTCCCAATTCTTTTCAAAACGTTATTAATTATAATTTAATTTCCCCAGATAGGCATTCAAGCATAATTAAAATACATTTAGTTGGGACATTTAATTTTAACGTTTTATTATATGTGGCATTATTATTATCATCATTAGAATCGCCAAAGATCTGTGCTTCAATATCAAGCATCTGATGCTAGATCGATTGTACTTAAGCATTCTTTGAGTTTCCTCGAACTTAAATTCAACCTCTGCAGTTTTATATCTTAGAGCAATAATCATTTATCTTATTCTTTTAATAAGATTTTCAACAAAAGGAATTTAGGTATAAGTATACGTATTCAAAATTCAAGTATTAAATTATATAATGATAATTTTATAAAAGTGCGTGAAATTATTATACCCTGTCTCAAGTGATAGGCTGTTATCATGCGAGAAATATTATTGATATAAAGATTAAAAATATGCAACAGGCGAAATAAAATTATATATAAATATTGGAACGCGTTCAAATTATTTTTAAAACTACAGGCCAGGCAGGAGGGTTAAAACAATTTTCTGGCAAAATGAGCAGAGCGGGCTTATATTCATTTTTTTTTAAAAATTTTTTTATTTCATAATAAAATTTTTGCCTCCCGTACGATAAAAAATCAAAACCGTCAAAATCTAAGTAGAGCTGTAAACGTTACTTCAAAAAAGAAACGCCTTACTCATTATTTTGTGAAAAGGTGAACGTGTTAGTCACCATTCAAAAAAAGGAAAAGAAACTTACTTATAAAAAAAATAACATTTTTCTCCCCATAGATAAAAAAAATAATATATTATAAATAAAATAAGTCTTTTTGTAATAATTTTATATTTATTTTTAACAACAATTGATTATCAAGTTTTGATAAAATAAACAAGAGAACTAAGTGCTCAAACACAGCTTTCGCTGTGTCAAACAAACGTTCAATTGGCGAAGAGAATGGGGGGGGGGGGGGGATTGTATTATATTTAATAAATAAAATTTTTAATTGGGGGAATTTATTAAATATTTAAAGAATAATCTTTATTTTCAAAATAACTTTTTATTAGATCATTTTGACATGAATCTTCATTCAGATCCTCGTTAATTCTTATATCTTTATCAGAATTTAATCTTAATTCATAATTTTACCTTCATATGTTTTTTTATTTTAGCTGCTGGACATCGAGGTTGAAATATTTGAATTAGTACACAATCGATACTTATAAAGTATTTACTTAGTACCCTTGATTTTCTTTATTTAAAAATGTTTCAGGGGCCAGGTCAGCGTTAAATTATCTTCATCTAAAAAAAGGAACTATTCACATATATTCTTAATAAAATAATTATAATAGAGATAACATACCTTGATTGATTCAATATTAATTAGATACAATCTTGACTATAAAATTCAACAACAAAATGTAATATAAAATAAAAATGTTTAATAGTGGATCTTAAAAACTCGGCTCAAATTATTTAAAAATTTTTAAAAAAAGAATATATATAATAAAATAAATTTTTTGCATTTTTTAAGAAAAAATGTAAGGAAACGAATAACTTAATTTTATATCTAAGTCATTATAGATAAATGCCAAGTTTCATCCTCGCTATGATATTTTTATAATATAATCTATATATTTATGAACTTAGAAAATTGATTCGGCAGCCCTGATTAATGTATAAATAATATTGCATTGTATTTTAAGCATCACATGTAAGGCAATTTTTTATTTGAATAGATAATATATTATCTTAATTTTGAAAGATTACTTAAATGAAAATTTAATAAAGTTGAAAAGATAAAGAATTGATCCTTTTTATAGTTTCTTTATAATTTTATTTCACCTTGAGTTAACAAGGTTATCTGTAATTTATAAAATTTATAGAACATTGTACAGATTGTGAGTTCGCTTTACCTTATTAATTATTTAAATAATAAAATACTTGATTTAGGAAAAAATGCCAAACAGGTTTGTTTTCTAAATCACAAACCAAAAATTGGGAATGAGAGTCATTAATAATATATGAGTTCTTGTTTATCATTGTTGATTGAAATATATTTAACCCATCACAAAATATCTTGATTTTAATGTTAGGTTCATGAATATTAGGCAGATATAAAATCTGATAATTATTAGTCGTTTGAACTTGATTTTTGTTTCTAATTAATAAAACTAAACCTGATAATAATTTATATGTAGATGTGTCGGGTGTATAATGATATTCTTCCTTATATAAATTAATAACTTCTTTAGCAGAATAATGTATGATATGACAATCAGTAATTTCATAAGCCAATGCCTTCTTTAATTTTATGTCGTTAATAAGAATATCATATAAACAAAAGTTTTTTTTGAAAATTCCAAAAATATCATAAACTAACACGATTCCATCATCTTGAATACATATTAAATTTTCAGGATGAGGTGTCGACCAGGCTAAATGAATTAAATGCCCATTATTCCAGCTTACATCATATAAAAATAAATTTATATTAATAATAAAATTAAGTTAAAATTTGCTAATCTTAGTGAATTATGAAAGTCTCCATTTCAGCGCTTATATGATACTGAGCGAAGAACAGGTAATAAATGTTTATAATAAATTGAAAAAAAAATACATTAAAAATTTAGGTAAACGTCTCGAACAAGGGATAATTTTATAGATTAAATAGTGATACTTATCAAATTAATCTTAAGATAATTAATTTTATGAAAGTTCAAATTTTATGTATGCTATTCAACTTTAATCACCCTCCAAAACTGCCATAGTAATTCCCATAAACTTTTGCAAAAATGAGGACCTTATAAAAACTCATATATGTATATGCATCCTTTCAGTGTTTCATCTTTCTGAGAGCAAAACCTCTCACTTTAGTCTTACTTCTAATTTAATATCTTGAATGTGATATAAAATTATTTAGAAGAAAAAAAAATAAATTGATATACTTTATAGTGCTAATTTCCTTACCAAAAGAAGAAAATATATGAATCTTTGGCTTTAATCCAGAAATTTGAAACTTTAAAACTTTTTTATCGTTTCGAATAACAGCAATTGGACCACCAAATGGAGCAACAGCTATTATGTAATTTGATATATCCATCATATCAGACCAACACATCCGTCCATGTTCAGTTTTCCTTTTAAATGGAATTTTTTATTTAAATTTATTTATAAAAATGACGTGTATAAAAACTACATTAATATAAAATTAATTATATCAATACTTATGGATTTAACAATTGTGTTCTCAAAAAGAAACCATAATTAAATTTAAAAATTCCAATTTTTATTTTTTATCTAATATATAAAAATTCCTTCACTTCTTTGGCAATACTTTTAAAAAATTTAATGTTATAGGAGAAAAAGAGGAATTAGTTTAGAAGGAAATAAAAAAGTTCAAATCCTTTTTAAAAAAATTTGGTTTCAGCCTCGGTAAGGGGATTGACATTGTGGGGGTGGGGGGGGGAGGGGGTGAAAAAACGCGTATAGTCCCAAAATCTTTTTAATAACAATCATGATTTAGATATATATATATATATATCTATTTATATATATATCTATTTATATATATATCTATTTATATATATATATCTTTTGTAGTGATGGCTTATTCTATTTAGAATTCCAAAGTATCTTGCGAGTATCGATATCATTAATATACCTTTTTAGACTTACAGTGGATAATATTACAAAAATTCGCTACTAATGAGAATAACTGTGAATTATATAATTGATTTTGAAATGATATATTATTAGAGGTGTATAAAATATTTAAAATTAATGTGAATATCAATATACCTGGTTTGTAACTACAGTGCTGTGCAGATTTGATGCAAACATTTCATATTTTTTTAAATTTATTTACAAACAAAATTATTTGGTTACAAAAATTATTGTAATAATACAATATTATAAATAGAAAAAGAGACAAAGTTTGAATTTCAAATTTTAATTCTAACCGGGAAAATTTTATGTTTTTGGATAAAATGTGCATGCATGAAAATTCTGAAAACAATAAAATGTAAAATGAATATTCGAACTATTAAAAATATATATATAATCGAATGATTAATTCTTATATGTCGAAAATTGGATACCCGTTTTAAGATAGCCAGTACTAATAATCTCAAGATACGCTTCGAACCTATTTGAGTCAACATTAATGCAAACGCGCAATTCCATCTTCACAGGCCTGACTTTCTTAAAGTTGACTATGGTGACCAAACGCGGCATCTTGTTATGTATTTCTACATATCTACAAATGCTCAATATAACTTCTCTCTTTGCTTGAAGTTTTTCTTTACGATAAAATTGAATGCATATCATCTACTCTCGCCCGATTCTTAATATTTTCTAGCATATCCCAAGTATAATTTTCTTCTCCCAATCGGCAGGAATACTCTTATGCAAGGTTAAACCAAAGGTTGTCTGAGGGAGGGGGGGGGGTCAGGAATATTTTTATCAACATAAAATATTGACATGGGTATCATATAGAAGCTAATTAAGATATCTTTTGATTAAAATAATAGTATTCACTCTTGGTCTTAATGAATTGGATCAGGTCCGGGAGAGGGGTAGGTTAAAAAATAAAAATTTGATAAGGGTATCAAATAAAAATTAATTTTGACTACAATATAATATTTATAGTATAAATTTAAAATTTAATTTGAACTATAAATAATATTAAATTATTTCATCAAAATAATGGTAAATTCCTGATTCACATTTCATATGATAGGCAGATTTCTGATTTTTCTATCAACAAATAAAGGATAAATTTCTGATTAATTTATTATCAAATTAAGGAGGGGCTAGATAGTCTTAATATAATACATTACATCTTGAATAATTTTATCAAATAAAGTTTTAAAAAAATTAGGCCTGTGTAAAATATACCCTTTTTGGTAAGGATCTAAACTGAACCAATATCGGTTCAGGTAAAAATATTAGTTAAAAGTTCAGATTCGGTTCGTAAAAAATAATAATATTGGTTAGGCTAATACCTCTAAAACCCGGTTTAAACTATTACAAACTTACATTCGAATTTTGTATAGAGATGCACTTTTTTTTAAATTCATCAAAAATACATACATAAAACGTTTATTTTATTATTAATTTCAAAATTATAAATAATATCGAATTTATAAATTATAACAAATAAATATCAATTAACTCAATATTGCACGTTATTTACTTAAAATAATAGTATAATACTGTACAATTATAATTTTAACCTTAGTCAAATTACATCTTTATATGGAGAAATAATCTTATTTTTGAGAAACATCTCTCTAAGCTACTGTTGTATCTGGCACTGCTAAAATATTATCCGACAATTTATATGATTTGGGTTATCAATTACTTTGATTTTTCCAATGGAAGATATTTATTTTTTTATTTAGGCGAGGTTCTTTATGAAAATTAACTAAAATATATTCTCTGATCTTTTTAATATATTTTGTTTATGATCATGTTTGCTCTTTAAATGCTTCTTGGAGAGTTAGTTGACTTGAGGAAATCTTAATTTTTTTTATATTTGTCTTTTGTTGAGATATTTTGTTACTGGCAAGTTCTAGAGGATGATTTCATTGCCGATATTAAAATGATCTGTTTATAAATGTGAACATCTTAGAATTGGCACTAGATTGGCAGCTAATTTCTTATGCATGAACATCTTGGAATATCGATATAAAATTAAAACTTATTACAAAACAAAATTATTATAAGGAAACGTTAGAATTAGCCGATAAAAAATTTGTTCTGGATCGGATCGGCAAAAAATTGTTAAAAACCGATCCACAACATAGGCTTATTTCATTTGCCGATGCTGACTTTTCTTTAAAATATTTTCATTTGATAAATTATTTTAAAGTTATATTAACATTCCAATATGGTTATGTATTAAAAATTTACTGCTTTTCTTGTGGCGATCCCGAGATATGCATAGTTTTTAATTTATGTTTGTAATCTTTTAATTAGTGTTGTTAAAACCTCGATTTGGAGCGATTTTTAAAAACGGTCCAATTAAGATTTGCCAAATAATATTAGATTTGGCAAATATAGGTCCAAATCTTTCATATTAACTGATAAATCTTTTATTTATGCATTAAATAAAAAAAGTTATTTTATAAGAAAGCATCATCTATTTAAAAAAAATATACTCCTTTAATTTTTTAAAAGATCTCATTCAGGTAGAAAAACACATTGGGGTAATTTGTCACATAACTAAAAATAAACCATTATTATAAAAAAAAATCTTTAATATTTAATAAAAGGTCTTTAGCAGAGCTAAAAATGACCATTAGTTCTTAATTTTAGTATCATTATTTATTAGCTTCTCAATTTATTAAATTGTATATTTTAAAAAAGGTCATTTGACCAATCTAGGTACTTGGACTAGGAGGCTAAAATTTTGCATTCGATGCCTGCTAGTGATATTATCTTGAGTGCAAAATTTTATCAAAATAAAAAAGGTAGAATAGAGAAATTATCAATTTGATATGGAATTATCTGCAAATATTCTAAAAATCATATTTACAAGCAAAGTTGTGCAGTGGCTAAATACCACATGAAAAGCTACTGTTAACTAAGTTAGTAGCTTAACAGGTGTATTTTGAGGAATTTTGAAATATTGCCTTGACTATTTTGGCGGAATACATTTTTGGAAATATAATTTTTTTCAAATTTCATATTTTATACTAATTTAAAATTTTATATTAAACAATTCTTAATAGAAAATACCTATGGTTCAATGTGTTTCGACCTGAAATTACTTCTGTAGAAATTGTTTACACAAATATAATAAGCAAAAAAGACAACTCTTCCAAAACAAATGAAAATGGAAAAGTGTAAATTTATACGAAATATTACTATGGTCCATTATTTAATTCAGAATAAAGAATCTGATCGCACATTTCTCAAGAATGTCAAAGCTAGCACTTAATGTATTCTATCTATGTAAGCACAAATTGGACTGATATTGCTGTAACAATTGATAATATAATAATTTCAAAATCAAATCAATTTTGCAGGTTTAAAAAAGTGATTTTTTTTATAGAATATGCTCAAATATTATCTCCTCTTATCAATTCCTCTGAATAGATTACAAAAGGAGAAGGAAGGACAATAGTTCTAATACTAAAGGCAACAATAAAAGAAATATTTTTTAATCAGACATATAACTAAGGTAAGGTCTGCAATGGGTAGGATTTAGCTCTCCTACCCATGCTTACCCATAATTTGGGCGGACGTGGTTGGGTTATCTAAAAAATTTCAACATTGGAGCAGAACAGACTTTAATTATTAAAAATAATAATTCTATTTCATAATATTGCATAATATTTAACTAAAAATACATTTAAATAAATAAATAAAGAGCCAAACCAGCCTAAAACAATTTTTAAACATAAGGTTGGTAGGGTTAAAGAAAATTTATAAATAAATGGGTGGACAATTGAGTTAATTTAAAAAAATATATATATAAGTGTATGTTGGAGGTTAAAAAATTTAAAGTAAACAGTGGCCAGGCTTATTGGCTAAAAATCTACCTATTGCGGACCTCTAAACCAAGCCCCCCCCTGTGGCAAATCGTCTGTTCTTGTAAATATCATTTTAATCTAATAACCCCCCCCCCCTCATACATCCCCACCCTGTTTCCACAAAAATGTATACAAATATATAAATATAAGAATAATTTGTTGAAAGAAAAATTAGTAGAAGTTAATGAAATAATTCAAAATTTTTATAAAAACCATATTATATTTTAAAAAAGTGAAAACCTAAAATTATTTTTATAATAATATAGCCAAAGACCTACAATATGTGAACCTAAAGGCCTCCAATAAAATTTAACCTCATCTAATGTTTTCACCTGCCTTTGTTATGAATATTTTAATTATATTACCTTCTAGCAGCAGTTGAAGGACTTTTTTTATTAAAGGGTATTGGTTAAAACTAAAGCCCTACATTGAACCTAATTTTTCAGGTCCAACCTAATTGGAGAAATTATTTTAGAAAATTTATCAACTGGTCCAATAATTTTTTTAAAGATCAATTCCAATCCAAAATTTATATTTAGAACTATGTCCAAATCCAATACATATTTTTTTAATGAAATGCTGAAAAAACAAAATATTTTAAAGAAATTGGGTCTTTACAAAAAATCTTATGTGACCAAATAGATACAAGATAAAAGGTTATGAAAAGCATAAGGACTGGAGCAATATTTACTGAATTAATTGAAAGATGTAACAACCATTGGCCCAATTAAAATGATAAACATGTCATGCAAAATTGCACAATGCAAATATACTTCAAAAGTAAGTTTTTCACCAAGGTTAATACATGTAAATGCTTAAATATTATATAACTTTTTAAAATAAAGATATAAATATAATTCTGAATGTATTTATTAAATCAAGGATTTCTTAAATTATATTACAAGATTTTCTATGCCAAATTCTTACAATTTTACAAAAAATTATTATAACATATATCTGAAAAAAAATCACATTTAAATAAATATTTCATATACTAATTTCAATAAATTTATTTTTATGATCATTAATCATCATAGAGTTTTAAAATTTTTAGCTAATTGGGTTTCTTTACTATATTATATTGATGTGGGAAAGATAATATAATCATATAATACTTATAGTAAAAATCAGAACTGAAAGGAATCCAATCCGTTGTTTCCATTAAATTATGAAGCTTGATCGTAATGCAATAAATCGAACATATGTTTTATGGGTTGTGGGTTGAACTTGCGAATTTCAAAAACCTCTCAGGCTGTTTCAATCAATCATCTTTAAAAACCATGCAACATGTTTAAAAGTATTTTAATTTATTTTCTAAGATGTACTTAATATTTTAAAAATCTTTTGTTTTAATTATTTATGATTCGTTTAATTTTAGAATCATTTATAGTTGTCATCAAGTTAAGATTTCTAAACTGAAGAATATTTTTAATTATTGATATTTCTTCAGGAAAAACATATTTGAAAATTTAACTAGTTTGCATAACCCTAAGATGACCTCCAATTATATTGTCAAATAAGGCTCCACCTCCAAAAAAAACACTTATTAAGCAATTTATCAATAAATAACAGGTCAAAATATATCTTTCAAATGGGTTGAAGCTGTAAAAAATAAAAAATCTTTCAATATGAAATCAAAAATATTAAAATAAAAATCTCCTTAACAAACATTATAAAAATATAATAGTATATCTGATTTACAGTAAAATATATTTTGAATCGCAGACAGTTTAAAAAAATGAAAACAAACTAACAAATAAAGTGCTCAATATTTCTCGACACGATGAGCTTTTATCCAAATGCGGGCTATAGTATTGTTAAACGGCTCAATATAAGCCAATTTTTGAAGGACGAACTCAATTTTTTAACCAGAAAAAATAATGTCAAAACCTCGAGATTTCACTAATAAATGTCCACCCAAACTTTTTGCCATCTTATAAACAAAAACAAAGCTCGCGTTGATATTTTTCTGGATAAAATATTGAGCTAGCCGTTTTTAAATCGGCTCAAATCGTACCGATAAACCTAACTAGTTTGCACAATAATAGATTATAAGTTAGGCCATTATATAAGACAAAATAAGCAGTTCAGGTTAAGGACATATATTAAGTTTGAGGACCAAAGTAGGAGCTAGCTTGGAGCTATGCAAAGTTAAGTGTTAGTGTTTATATTGAATGAGGAGATATACTCATTTTATGAGATACCAAACCCACTATATTTGGTAAAATCTAAAAATACTTAGGGTTGCCCGAGAGCGTGAAGCAACACGAAGCAGCCAATAGGTATATTATTTTTTACCAAACTACGTGATTCAGCTTAAAAATTGATATTAAGTTCAAGACTGCATTAGGGGCAAGCTTAGAGCTGTGCAACAAAAATTAGGGTTAGTGTTTGTATTAGATGAGGAGAAATATTGGATACTAAGCCCACTGTATTTGGTTAATTACTGCTTCGAAATAGCCCGAAGTAGCCAATAAGGTTCTTATCATGTTTACTAAAGTACGCAGTTAAGATATTAAGATGTCCAATGCTTTAGGGCTAGCTTGGAGCAGGGGCGTCGCTAGCCTTTACAATCTCAGGGGGCTAAACTAATTTGCGGGTCTTCGGCCATCTTTTACCAGGCCTTCGACCGGGTTTTATGTTAATATATTATACTTTTTTTAAATTTGTTAACTCTGAACATTCTGAATTTTAATTTTCTCATTTATTATATTATGCATACAAAATAAACTGGCATATAAATAATTAAAACAATACAAGACAATTCTAAAAATAAAATTTTTTAATACTTATTACTAGTGAACGGCTAACTCAATATTTTAGTTTAGCCAGAAAAATATTGCCTAAGCCTCAAGATTCCGATAATATATGTCTAGACCTTTGTTCCTTCTATGAGCAAAATCTTCAGGCTTAGATAATATTTTTCTGAATGAAGTATTCTATTAGTCTTTTTAGAAATCGGCTCAAAATGAGCCGTTTAACATCACTACTTATTACAGTATGAAATATATTCGATTGCTGATATAAAAATTTGCGTCTAAAGAAATACAAGTGATAAAAAAGATTAATTAATTCATACATATGCCTCAATTGATAATAGTTTTTAAAAACCACATAATGCAATAATATAATTCTTAGCAACTTACATTGAGAAAAGGTTATCAAACTAATATAACTCTCTGTTACTATTTTACACATTTATAGAATGGACTAATAAGGAAAAATTTATAGAACCAAACCAAATCAACAATTCTTGAAGAAGAGAGTATAAACGACCAATCCAAATCAAAAACTATTAAGTAATTAGAGCTTCCTTTTAGATGACATGATGGCAGCTAGATAAGTAATCAAGAAAATTATTGTGAGATATTAAATTTCTAAAAGATTATCATCCATTTTAAATGATATATAATATATAAACGACTACACAGTTGACCATTATTGTTTATCTAAAATATGCAATCATATGCTCTCAGCCGTTGTAGTAATAATCTTAAATTACAATAGCAACACAAATATTAGATGCTGATTAATTTGCAGTAATAGCCATGACACTCACGATGTAAACTAATATCAGAATTTATTATGTTGGACAAATTGATAAAATAAAAACACTAAAAATCTTTGGAAGAAATAATTCTGCAAATATATTGAAGCCTTGAGTTATTTACACGGCAAGGATGCCATATTAGAAATGAAACATACTTGAGCTATAAAATAAGGAGCAGAATGATAAGATGAAACAAAATTTTATATATTATCGCACCACCTATAGTTGGTATATTATATCTTAAAATAATAGTAGTTTGTAAAAATATCAAAAATACTTGTATTAAAAATTTAACTCAAAACTGTTTTTTGAAGAAAAGGAACGCCATTCGTTACCTTCATCTAAAGGTAACGAGTAACGGTAACGCGTTATTTTTGAGTAATGGTAACGCAAAACGTTACTTTACTCGTTACTTTATATTTTTTCTTAAAAAATATCAATAAAAAAAACATATTTTATTGTTATAAAATTACTTTTATTTATTTTTTATACACAATAAAATAAATTTGAAATATATAAATTTTATACAGAATTAAAAATTTATTATACATAAATATTTTTTAAAAAATAAGATTACAATAAAATTTAAGTATTCATGTTACTCTTAATGGTATTTAAAATAATATATATAATTTAACAATTATATTTATAACTAATACAAATGAGTATATTATCAAAATATAAATAACTTTTATTGCAAATGCAATACCTTTATAAAAAACATATAAATATTATGACTAAGAATTTATTAGAATTAAGTTTTGCATATAAAAATTTTAATACTAAAAGAACATATTATAATCATATTGTAATTTTATTATAATGCTAGAAATTATATAAAAACCCTCAAGTAAAAAAAGTTATATAAAATATTTATTAAAAATTTATTAGAGTATATGAAGGAGAGGACTCGGATGAAGAAATAGTTCTACTGCCATTATTTATATATTTGAAGATCAAAATATTAATGATAGTATTGTATACTTATCTAAGCATCATTCCTGTTCAGCACACACTTTAAATCTTATGTATTGACACTGAAAAGGCACTCAACGATGTCCATTATAAAAGCTTTTGTGGAATAAACATGGGCAATCTAACTGTGCAGCCATTTTTAGGAAAATATGGGAAGATATTTGATTAAACCTGTTATAACAAGATGGAATTCTTTCTATAACTCTGTAAAATTAATAGTCTTATTAAGGTGATTTATCAAAAATTTAATGAATCTTGCGACAAATCTGAATTACAGAGATTTTCAGATAACAACAAGTCGTTCATAGATAAATATTGTATGGTTAGTGTTAATTAAAATATGATATATATATATATGATTTCATATGTTATGGAACCGATAGCTACGGCTCTTTCAATTTTAGAGAGCGAAGAAAATATGCATTTGGGATATCTCACTCCCATTATAACCATTATAATATCAAAACTTAAAAAAATTGGCTTTAAATAATTTTAAGTTTTGTAAGCCGCTTATTGATTCAATCCTGGAAGCCATAGATATTGCTTATAATTTATATTTTGACTAGATTTAAACACATCTATGATGATGATTATATACTATCGGCAATAATTCACCCACTATTTAAATTGGATTGGCCCTGGATAAAATTAGAGGTCAATAAAGGAAGAATGCTGGAACTTATTTCCAGTTTGAGAAAAGATACTGATAAAGAAGAACAGGCTTGATTCCTTTATCCAACACACACACTAGAATATTTTCAGATAATGATAAAAAAATTTTGATGATGAAATGAATGAAGATCTCTGTGAAGATGATCTTTCAAGCTTTTTCAAAATAAAAATATTTCCTTAAATATTTTTAATAAATTCATCGAATTGAAATTTTTGTTTATTAAATATAACACCACTCTCCCATCCTCTGCACCAATTGAACGTGTTTAGCACGGCGAAAGATGTGTTGAGTACTAAGCGCTCATGTTTATCTGATCAAAATTTTGAAAATCAATGTTAAAAATAAATAAAAAATTGTTACATAAAGATGTTATCTTATAATATATTATTTTTGTATAATTTTATTCATATTATAATTATATATGAAAATTTTATTATAAAAAGATCTTATCTTATATGTTCTTTTTGTATAGTTTTATTTTATTATATATTGTCGGAAAAAAATAAATATTTTTTTGCATTATATATAACATTTAATTTTTTTAAGTAACGAGTAGCCCGTTACTTTTTTGAAAAGTCGGTAACGCGTGTTCCT